TTCTTCCGGGCCCACTTCAGGTCTGCGAAGTCCTTGCCCCAGGCCCCTCTGACATACTACCCTGTTCACACCTTATATTCCACAGAGTCTGACCCTTCATTTCTTATAAACTGCTTTATATTCGTGCTAAAGTACATAATATGTGTGACAGTCCTATTTTTCCCATGAGAATAAAATCCCTGGGAAACTAACTTATACTTCTGTCCTATCTGCCATTCTGCAACACCTAGAGGCTAAAACAGCAGCAGTAGAGGGACACCTGGGTGGCTCAGTCGGTTAAGGTCTGACTTCAGCTCAGGTCATGATCTCACAGTTCGTGAGTTCAAGCCCTGAACTGGGCTCTGTGCTAACAACTCAGAGCCTGGAGCCTGCCTTCAGATTCTGTGTCTTCCTCTCTCTCTGCCCCTCCCCCTCTTTCTCTTTCTCTCTCTCAAAAATGAATAAACATTAAAAAAACTATAAAACACTGGGTACCTGGGTGGCTCAGTCGGTTAAGCGTCTGACTTTAGCTCAGGTCATGATCTCGTGGTTCATGAGTTCATGCGTTCAAGCTCCATGTGGGGCTCTGCGCAGGAGGCTCAGAGCCTGAAGCCTGCTCCAGATTCTGTGTCTCCCTTTTTCTCTGCTCTTGCCAAGTCATGTTCTATCTCTCTCTGCCTCTCAAAAATAAATAAATAAATGTTTAAAAAAGTTAAAATAAAGTAAGTTTGTATTAGAAAATAAATACATTTTGAAAACCCTGTGAAATAAAACAGCAGCAGTGGACAAGAGCACATAACACACTTTATAAACCTGAATGGAAAGTTCCAGTGTTACACAACAAAGTAGTAAGGAAAAACATTGCTGTCTTTTGAGTCTGCTCTCCCCAAAATACAGTGGGGCTGTAAAGCAGTATGTGTGCAACTTACACAACCTTTATTCTAGTGGGGAATACAGGGTGATCAATAACAGTAATAATTTACAAGTAACATCTATCGAGCTACTAAATGCTGGCATGCTTGCACTGTGCTAAGTGATTTCCATCCTATAGATGTGACTAAAATAAACATTCTAAATAAAACGTTCTAAATAAAACCATAGAGGAACTTCTCACACCTGTTTCCCAATCCTTGAGGATTAGTCAATGGCCAGTTGGTAGGAAGGAAGCACTGGAGCTCCTGCTTACCCTCAGAGGCAAGGGCACAGCAGCTTGGTGGGTGTCTCCCGCTCACAACATGTGGGTAGGGCTCAGCTACTAGTTAAGGCAGACACGTGCTAGAAGTGGTATTAGACTGAATTCAACTGCTCAGCCTCGAATTAATCAAAGAGTCTCTGTACAGCTCAGAAATGACCTCAGAGTATTCCAGCATTTGTTTCTCCTCTTTAGCCGCAGAAATTATGGAAGAAGTTCCACAGACTACTGATTTTATGTGGTTTTGGGTCTGAAAGGAAAAAAAATGGCATTTTGGGTTAGAGAACAGTGCTCAACAGAGAAATCTCTCTCCCTTCCTAAGCGTGGGACATCTTTTATCTGCTGCAAGCTGCGGACCGTAAGTATCGACATGATCTGAGTATGCATTAATGATTTAAATCTTATTTATTATGTAGCACATTGCCAAAACACAACGACACTCTAGATAATTTTTTTATTATGTTTATTTATTTTTGAGAGAGAGAGCAAGGCAGAGTGCAAGTTGGGGAGGGGCAGAGAGAGAGAGAGAGAGGGAGACAGAATCTGAAGCAGGCTCAGCTGTGTGCTGACAGCTCAGAGCCTGACGTGGGGCTCGAACCCACAAGTGTAAGATCATGACCTGAGCCGAAGCCGGACACTCAACCGACTGAGCCACCCAGGCACCCCTACAACACTCTATATAAATTTCAGCTCTACCACAAAGGAAGGAATCAAAGGTCAGTCTACATCCAGTTGCAAAAATCTAAAGCAAAGATCTACTAAATATACTGGCTGGGTGCACCTTCCCTTTCATTATGAAAAAATGTTACATTAACAGAACTATCTCTGACAAATGGCTTTAGAAAGATAGTAAGAAATGCTAAAGCATAAAGTATCTCTGTAGTTTGTTAAGTTGGCTAAAGACTGCTGCATAGGTGCAGAAGCCTCACCAGGCTTGCAGTTCTGTGGATCTTAATAGAAATAAGGAGAGCAATAACATGACTCTTACAGAGCTCTGTAGTTTACCAGCACCTTTCGTACATACCACGACTTTCAGTCTTCATGAGCAAGCCCTATGAAGGAGGCAATGCCATTTTCATTTTACAGATAAGAACCTGACATCCCAGAAGAGTAAATGCTGTGGCTGTAATCAGAGTCAAGGCAGACTGGATGGGGTACCACCTTTTTTGCAGAGTTTCAATGTTCTAGGCACTGTGCTAAGCATGTCACAGAAGATTCCTATATCCCTGGCAACAATCCTTTCTTACTGAAAACTGAAGTTCAGAGAGGTTCCGTAAGTTTCCCAAGTTTGCAAAAGCTGGTGAGGTCAGAAGTGCCTGATTTGATTTGTTTCCCCTGCTGTGGTTGACTGTGTTTCCCAGCTAGCAAGTGCAGCACCTCAATTTAAAAACCAAGACTTGGAACCCCGAATGTTACCTCCTCCACGAAGCACTCCCTGACCATCACTCTTGCCAAGACCATGTTTTGTGAAATTCCTCCAACATAATCAATTATTGTACTCCTTCACTATATAATAGATATTTGTTATTTTGTTAATTTCTTATACCTTTGGGTCCTGGATAGGCTTGGACCATATCCTAAGTTTATAGCTCTATTTATAAGACTGTGTTTGGAGACTAGAAGTCACCGTAAATGCGTGGTGAGTGAAGAAGTGAATAACAAAACCCAGTGATTTCTTATCATGTGTTTGAGAATTACAAGGTAAAGCTATGGATTTAAACAATCAGAAAAGTTAGTCTAACATGTCATTCCTGGCACAAACAGCTTTTTAAAATCTATGGCAGGGACACAGAAATTATAAATATCATTAAGAGCTTTCATACACATCATAGGTTAAATTGTGATAATATAGGAGTTTCTGACAATTCAAACAAACTCCTTTTTTTTTTTTTAATGTTTTATTTATTTCTAGGAGAGAGAGAGACAGCATGAGCAGGGGAGGGTCAGAGAGAGGGAGTCACAGACTGAAACAGGCTCCAGGCTCTGAGCTGGCTGTCAGCACAGAGCCCGACGCGGGGCTCGAACCCACGAACTGCGAGATCATGACCTACGCGAAAGTCGGACGCTTAACCGACTAAGCCACCCAGGTGCCCCTCAAACAAACTTCTAAAAGCTGCACAGAAGACAGCTTTAGTTACATGAGTCTGTAGGTTCTTCTCTGCATATAATGTGTGACCTATGTTCTTCACATCCAACCCAGATTCTTCCTTGTGACTTTATGCTAAAATATTTTCAGCAGTAAGAGGAGGAGGAGAACAGGTAAAGCCTCCCTTCAACCGTGTCTTCTAACCTGTCAACAAGAAGGTGGCAGGCTCACCATAAATGACTCAAGTAGCAATAGAATCAGAGGAAGACAGAATGTGATTGTGTTTCAGATTCCATGGGGGCTATGAATTGTGAGGATTTTTGTGTCCTCAACATGTTTACTGTGATACCTTGTCTTTATCCTCTCTCTCGCTTGACCTTCTAAAGTATCTGAACTCATTTCTCTGTCACCATACTCCACACAGCCCTTAGTTGCAGTGAAAAAGTGAATCAGAAGTTTCCCAGTACAGCTCAGGGATCCCTCAGATACCTGGGCAGTTTCCCCTACTTAACATGGCTCTGGAAGGTTGGGCCAGCCTCCAAATCTCTGAGTCTTCTCTTTTAAGTTCTAGCGGGCTTCAATCAGACACTGATAGCTGATGACCACTCTTTGTTTAATAATGAAATGCAGGTCAAATACTGATTCAGTACCATCAGAATGTGACGCTGTGCCTAATGAGATGATGGACCCACTCATTATTAGAGAAAATCAATTATTTCCAAAAAACTTGGCATTTTCTCTAAATTATGTTCATGGGAAGCCGACACTCATAAAATGCATGGGGTCAGCTGTATGTTTCTACTGTAACAGAGGCAGGAGAAAGAACCACCAGCTCCATCAGTAGTTTGTTAGGAACACTGAGCATGTCCACACCAGCAAACATCAACTAGCCTAACTTATGACCACTGTCAATGCACTTGCCCAGGGTGAAGCAGTAACAGCATCTGCTTTACCATCTTCTAAGTTTCAATTAACTAAAACTCTACCCATCACAACTCTCACTGAGTGTTTGACTCTCCTGCTCAGATCTCAACAAGGCAAATCACAAGAGAAGCAAGCAATGTCTGAGACCTTTCCAGTATATGTACTTGTCTCAGAATGCACACACCTGCCCCTGCTGAGCCTTAGCCAACAACCTAAGTTGTCAGTACAATTTTTTAAGCAAAAGGCTTGAAAATATAAAGGTGGTACATTTTACATAAAGATTGAGACACTGGAAGTTTTTTCTAAACTTTGATACTTCATTCTTGGGTAGTATAGGAATCACAAAACATCTGGGGCTTAAATTTACATCAAGCTATGTCCAGCAAAGAAGAAGTTCTTAGACACAGAGGTGTCACAAGGCCAGCTTACCCACAGAACCCAGCATGGGCCAGGTTACTCTCTCCCAAGAAGGACAAAGAGGGCGACTGATCTCCTGAGTGGCCTGGGAACCACTTTTTATGATTGTGAGTAAAGCAAATCTAAAGCTTTCTGTGAAAGCCTCTAATTTCTGTTAGATCACTTCACCTTGGTATCAGCTAAAGTTAACACATACTAGCCAGAACAAACCAAGTAGAACACGCACCTTTCCAGAAACTACCTCCAGAAAAAGAGAGACAGAGAGAGAAAGAGAATGTTGTTCCCCACACAATAAAGTAAGTTAAGGGGAAAAATAAGATAATACAAATAAGCAAGTGTCAGGCTGATGGATTTAAAAGCTGGCCAACCAATGAAAAAGAAGTCAGATGAGCATTCCCTTACCTGTTTTGGTATTGATGGCAAAAAAATTCTGGGGATTCCCACTTGTAATCCTGTATGTCAGTTTCTCATTGGAACTGGAGTCTGGATCCTCAGCCTGGATCTGAATGACAGATACATCCTTTGGAGAGTTTTCCATGACAACAGGATAATAGATAGGTTCTGAGGTCAGTGGGGCATTGTCATTCACATCTTCAATTTCAATGTAGACCTCAATGGTGGAATAAAGTGGAACCACGCCCCGATCTGTGGCGTACACGGTCAGCCAGTATGACCCCGTTGTCTCTCGATCAAGAATGTCTGCTGTAGAGATGACTCCTGAAAGAAAGTAGAGAGAACATGACTGCTACAGCAAACTGGAAGAAACAGAGATGAAGTAAATTGCCCCAAATTCAGTGGGGAGAGGAGGGCTATGGTATGGAATCTTGTCATAAAAAAAAAAAAAAAAAAAAAAGTCCTTAATACAAGATTCAATTAAGATGTTTCTCTTTACAGAAGAAAATTAGTTTCCACAAAAACTTACTAAATAGCTCCTCTACCATTTGAAAAGTGTAATTACATTCACAAATACTTTATTTGAATTTGGGGGGAACAGACAGATCTCAATACATGTGCACCGACACACACAGAGAGGACAATAGGGAGCTGTGGGAAGAGAGGAGGCCAGAGGTCAGTACACTCTCTGTGATGCATGGGAAATCAGGGCAATAGCAGGTCAGTATCTCCATTTGACCCGATATTGAGTTTTCCCATGCAATGCAAAGCTCTCCCAGGGCAAATTATTTTATCTGTTTGTTCACAAAAATGAAAAAGACCTTTCAAATGTTCTTTTGCCAGTAAGGATGGAAAAGATTTTGCATGCAAAGATATAAGCCTCCTTCGCACTGTTTCCCTGAAAACCAAATGTCACAGTTATTCCAAAAGAATGAGAAGAAGTAGTCATACGAGCACACTTTCTGAAAGATCTTTACCCCCTCAAGAACTCTACAGAGGGTGCTAAATAAATTCTGAGCTACTCTGAGAGATACTCATAGACAATCATTTTAAATGAGAAGCAGAAAAATGCCTGATCTCCTCCCTTCGCCTTTCTCCTTTTGTGGTGGAAACAAGTGCCAACCAGGAAATCAGGTGTCTGCCAGGACAGTTAGAAAGAAAACACAGTGCTCTTGAATATCTTCACAGCCCTCACTCAAATCACTGGCTACAGAAACTTACTAGAGGAGAGCCTGAGCAGTTTCACTGTGGCGGGAAAACTTGGGCTTGGCTTATAAAATCTCTTAACGGCAGTCGGGATACTTGTGGAAGGCATGCAATTCATGTAAATCCTTATACCCAGAAAGAAAGCCATGGAAAAAGTCAAGAAATAGTTCTCCACTTCTGGCCTACATCCTCTATCCTCTGTATTCCCATCAAACTTCAGATTGTATTAGTCACACAGTTTGGTCTACAGACCCTGTGTAAGCAAAATGGCAAGTACAGCAATTGGAAGAGATGAGGGAATCTGTCCAGAAACAGTGAGGCTGGAATTCCCAAAATTGCCCCAAACTCAGAATGGCTAAACTATTCAAAAGGAGAGAACCTAACTGATGGTGAAGATTCAGCTCCAAAGTTAGCCAGCTAAGAACCCTGTATAATAATATGCAACGGGACAAAAGATAACCTTTTTTAAAAAGATGTTATTGTTAACTAATCTCTACACCCAACATGGAACTCGAATTTACAACCCCAAGGTCAAGAGTTACATGCTCTATCGACTGAACCAGCCAGGCACCCCAATACAAGATAATCTTAAATCTTCTCGATGGAAATATGTAAAACATAATGGGTTTCTATAGATTCATGGGTGTTACCTCAATGTCAAAATAAATATGCCAATATGACATTAGGAGGACAGAGAGCAGATAGCAGGGTCGGGAGAAAAGCCGGAAGAGTAAAACACAGTGAATATAAACATAATGCTATGTGTCCATTCACTAAATGAGTGACAGGCAGCCTTATAAAATGGGCTGAGACAGTGCAGAATGTCAGCATGACATTGAGGTCCAGAGAGGCTAGAAGGCCAGAGACTGGGTCAGGCACGATCACCTCTATAGGGCTCAGGCCTATCACAGACACAATGGCCAGCTTTCTGGAACACTCACAGCAGTCAGAGCCATGAGGCCCCAGGCAGACATGGGGTTCCCTGGCACCTACGGGAATTAGAGCTTTTCAAGTCAGAAGATGGTCAGGTGATATGAAAGCAAGCAGTCTCTGGAATGGAGACAAAGAGTGGGCTAGCAGGATCTGGGATGGAGGCCATGGTTGCAAAGAATGCTCTAAAGATGCATAGGAAGCACTGGGAGGCTGGGAAGCATATTTTGCATAAGATCTATCAATTCAATTCATAAGCATCTACTGGACCCTGTGCTGGACACTAGAAGAACAGGGATAACTGGGAGAAGATCTCTGTCTTCAGGAGACACATAGTCTTGTTGAGAAGACAGATCTCTAATGAGGAGATCTGCTCTAAGGGGAAAAACGCACAGCCAGCAGCCAGGAGGATTCTGTCTTCTCTGGTTTTGTACTGGTGTGGACTGATATATTAAAAGGGGTAAAGAACCTAGAACCAGAAGAAGGTAGGAGGCAAGTGAAATAACATTTACTGAGCACTTATAATGTGCTATGAAGCTTGCAACACAGCTTCTCTATAATATGAGCTTTATAATTGTCTTCTATGGATGGGTCAGGAAGTCTCAAGGGTGAGTAGGTAACTTGTCCAAGGTTGAAGGGCTAACTGTAGAACTCACGTCCGTCTGCTTCAAATGCTCCTAGATTTACTGTTTGGTAAATCTACCTGTTCGGTAGAGTACTACCTGTTTGGCTATGGACAAGGTGTTTAAACCGAGGAAGCCTAACTTAACTACCCACATCCCAGTGATGTGGTGATTGTGTAATTGAATGTATGTCAAATATTTGGCAAAATACTTGCAACACGGTAGATGCTGAGAATGTGTAATGTTAATGTGAATCAAAAGCAATACTGAAAGCCTTGTAAAGAGTAACCACATTCCAAAGCGAGGGACAATTTTGAGAGGAGAGACTTTTGGCATGGACTGTTGTCTTAGATTTTTTTCCCCCTCTTCTCTGGTCATATGTCATTCTTACATAGGCTTTGTGACATACTTTTTTGTGAAAATAACTGGCCTATTTGGGAAACAGTAAAATACATCCACTAAAATGAGAACATAACACAATAAGCAACAAAATCAAAGAAGTTGGGTAAGTACTGCTTGTATTTTACGTGACTACCTACCACGCATGCAATCATGTGCACTCACATGCATGCATCAACACACGCACACACACACAGATATGTAGAACTGCTTTGTGATCTCTGGAAGTCACTTAACTCCCTTTTCCTGCACTTGTCCAACTGGAAGATAGTACATCACAGGCTTTGGACATTAAATGGTTTTGAGGAGTGCCTGGGTGGCTCAGTTGGTTAAGTGTGCAGCTCTTGATTTTGGCTCAGGTCATGATCTCCCAGTTCATGAGCCCCACAGCACTGACAGCCACAGCCTGCTTGGGATTCTCTTTCCCTGTCTCTCTGCCCCTCGCTTGCTCACATATACTACTTCTCTCAAAAATAAATACACATTAAAAATTATTTTAATAAATGATTTTGAGAAGTCCTTGGATGAAAGGCATACACTAATGCCAAATAAAATATATGAGTGGAATTTTATTTTATGCTATATTTTAATAAAGGATCAGGATCTCTAGAGATTAGAATTCTTTCCTATTAAAATAAAATGTTTACAGCTATATTTACTCACTAACTAGAAGTGGAAGTGATTATCTTGGAACTTAAGTGTTCAGATATCAGTCCAATGGTCCAAAATTTTGAGAGCAAAATGACAAGGATGATTCTGAAGTGTGTTAACAATTATTCTAAGATTCATCCGAGGCTCCATATTAATACAACACATGCCCAGTGACAGCATGTTCTCACTTTCTACTATACTCTCATAGCTAATTATGACCTACATGGTCAGAACTACAAATGAAAGCCTACATGACCTTTCCTGTTAAGCAAAAATTCACTTTTGAGATTGCCAAAAGATCACCAAAACCATGTTATGAGCCCTTAGTTTTGTGATAACCACCATGCATTACTTTATTAAAACTAAGGTATAACTGACAAACAATAAAGTACACAACCCATGAAACCACTGCCACAATCAAATAACAAATATAACCATTATCGCCCAAAGTACTCTCCTTCTCATTTTAATCCCAATTAAAAATGCTCCCAATTTTCCCTATCTCCAGGTGACATGGAACTTTCTCCATGGACTAGATGAGCTTTTTATCATGACAGATCAATTTGAATTTCCGAGAACTTTATGGAGATGAAAATCATATAGGATGTACTCATTTGTATGGCTTCTTTTACTCAGAATAATTATTTTGAGGTTCATCCATGTTGTGTGTGTGTGTGTGTGTGTGTATATATATATTTTCATATATATATATATATATATATATATATATATAAAACAATGCATCATCCCTTTTTATTTCTGAGTAGTATTCCATTGTATGGGTCTACCAAGATTTGTTTCAATCGTTGACTTGTTCGTGGGCATTTTGGTTGCTTTCAATTTTTAGATACTACAAATATAGCTTCTAAGAACATTCCTATGCGAGCTTTATGTGTAAGTAATTTCATTAAGTCTTGAGTAATCACCTAGGAGTAGAAGAGCTATATGACAGGTATATGAGTGCACGATTTTACATTCCCACCAGCATTAAATGTGGAATGCTCCTGTTGTTATACATCCCCACTTTTGGCATACTTTCCATTGTCAGTTTCCTTAAGTTTCAACATTTCAATGCTATGTAGTAGTAGCTTGTAATTTTGATTTGCATCCTCCTGCTGATACTGAGCATCTTTTAAAGTGCTTACTTTCTTTTTCTTTTAACATTTATTTTATTTTTGAGAGACAGATGAGTGGGGGAGGGGCCGTGAGAGATGGGGGACAAAGAATTTGAAGCAGGCTCCAGGCTCTGAGCTGTCAGTACAGAGCCTGATGTAGGGCTTGAACTCATGGACTGCAAGATCAAGCCCTGAGCTGAAGTTGGATGGTGAACTGACTGAGCCACCCAGGTGCCCCTAAAAGTGATTAATTTCAATCTGCATGTCTTGTTTGGCTAAATGTTCAGATTGTTTATCCATTTTTCAGACTGGGGTGTTTGTTTTCTTATTACTCAGATTTAAGAGTTCTTTATAGTGGCTTACAGTGCTTTACCAGATACATGATTTTCAAATATTTTCC